CGAAGCCCTCCTGGGAATCTGCGTGGGACCCCAGTGTGTTGGCTCCCCCTGCAGCCCTCGAAAGTGGCGACAGTTTTACATCGCAGCCCCCCCAGTGATGGCGAGGTCCCGGTTGGGAATTGTGTGGGGCCCCAGTGTGTTGGCCCCCCCAGCAGCCCTCGAAAGTGGCGACAAGTTCACACTTCGCAGCCCCTCAGGGATGACGAGGTCCCGTTTGGGTTTGCGTGGGACCCTATGCTGGCCCCCCTAGCAGCCCTCGAAAGTGGCGACAGTTTCACATGTCGCAACCCCCCAGGGATTGCGAGGTTCCGCTTGGGTCTGCGTGTCTGCGTGGGACCCGCCTGTGTTGCGAGGTTCCGCTTGGGTCTGCGTGTCTGCGTGGGACCCGCCTGTGTTGACCCCGCCCAGCAGCCCTCGAAAGTGACGGCATTTTTTTCCACTCTGCAGCCCCCGGGGGCTTGCAAGGTCCCGTTTGGGGTCTGCGCGGGGCCCCCCCGTGCTGCCCCCCGCCCCCCCCCAGCAGGCGGGCGAGATGGGGGGGGGCCAGAGCCGGCTCCCCCAGCAGGCGGGCGGGGCGCAGGCAGGCGCAGGCAGGCGAGAGGGGGGGACAAAGGGGCTGACGGAGGAGAACGGGGGACCGACGACCCCGCCCACTCAAAAGCAAGGACCCAACCACGGGAGTCACCGTGCGCTTTTTCGGGGTGCTCACCGTGAGCGCCACATAATAAGATGGGGGTGAACGACTTGTCCAAAACGCACGTGGCTAGGCGCGGGATCGCCCCCTGCAGAAGACCGTTATAGTTCTGACATGACCAAGGGAGTCTGGGGAAGCATGCAAAATTCCCTGGGAGGGCTCCCGGGGCCGATCCGGCGGGGAGTTCTGGGAGGGCAGGAGACCGGCCCGGGAGAGGCCCTCCACGGCCTCCAGGAGGGCACCCGCGGCGCGGGCCCGCAGGCTGCGGGAGAGAGGGTGCGCGTCTCTTCCCCCGCCCGTTCAGTGCACGTCCGCCCACGGGCATGCCCCGGCGCCTGGTTGGTTCCTGTAGATGCCCGTGGCACGTCCCGCCGCCGTGCCAGCCCAGCAGTCGCAGTCGGGGTGGCTGCTGCTTCGGGGGGGCACGCAGGGCCGTCGCGTGTGACGCCTCGTGTCTCCAGGTTCGGGGGAGCTGCGGGTGAGGACGACGAGGCACATGTGGATGTTGGGGGTGATGGTGACGATGCGTGTGATGTTGATGCTGGTGGTGGTGCTGGTGGTGGTGATGGTGATGATGCTGATGATGCTGATGATGATGATTGTGTTGGTGGCGGTCATGATGATGGTGATGATGATGGTGATTATGATGCTGATGATGATTATGATGATGATGGCGGTGTTGGTGGTGGGGGTGGGGGTGGTAGTGGTACTGGTGGCGGTGATGGTGATGCTGGTGTTGATGATGGTGGTGGTGATGACGCTGAGAATGATGAGAATTATTAGGATTGTGGTGATGGTGGTGGTGATGGTGACACTGATGATCGTGATGAAGATGACGCTGGGGCGATGCCAATGACGATGATGATGATGCTGGTGCTGATGATGGTGACGATGATGACGATGCTGGTTGTGATGGTAATGGTGATGGCCATGATGATGATGACGACGGCGATGCGGATGATATGTATGTATGCATGCATGCATGCATGCAGGCAGACAGGCATGCATGCATGTATGTATGTATAAATGTATGTATGTATGTATGTATGTATGTATGTATGTATGTACGTACGCATGTATGTATGCATGTATGTATGTATGTATGCATGTATGTGTGTATGTATGTGTGTATGTGTTTATGTATGTATGTATGTATGTATGTATGTATGTATGTATGCATATATGTATACATGTGCGTATGTACGTGAATGATGATGATGATGATGAGGAGGAGGAGGAATACGAAGAACAATAAGGTAATGGTTATGTTGATGATGGCCATGATGATGGTTGCGATGCTTATGGTGATGATACATATGCTGATCATGATGATAGTGATGATGCTGCTGATGCTGATGATGATGATGTGGTCATGATGATGCTGATGCTGATGGTGGTGGTCATGATGCTGATGCGCCGAGCGAGAGAATACCCCGAAGCCCAGCAGTTGATCTCCATGGTTCCGATCGATGCGATTCGATGCTGTGGTCGGCCACTCCGATTTAATTCCGAATTCCGACGGCCCTATGTTCGCTTGGCGTTGTTGTGCACGGCCGATGCGGCCCGATTCGATGCACATTTTGCTTCGTTTCGATTCCCCGATTCGATGCCGACTGATCTTGCCCGCGGGACGAGTGCATCAAGCAAGGGAACATCCCGACGCTCAGTTGTTCGTCATTTTTGGCCTCCCCAGGCCAGTTTCAGTGTCCCAGTTCCTCCTTCGTCTGGGGAGACTTTTGCTGAGGGCCGCGTTTATCGAGCCCACAGTCTCACAGTCGTCATTCTGAGGATGCCAAGCGGGCAGGTGTACAGCCTTCGTGTCCATCACGCCTATCAGTTTTGTTGGCTCTCTCTGCGCTTAAGGGCGCAGGTGCTCGAACGAGTGACGACGAAGAGGGTTACCGGAAAGCGGCCGTGTTCAGTTGTTCATTGGTAGTTTCAATTCCGCGATGGCGAAATTTTGGCGTTCGTTCGGGCCACAATGCCATCCGCCACAGCTCCACAGAAGATCACCAACTAGGCAAGCCCCGATGCTACACAACCAGTTGACACATTGATATCCACGGGCGACATCACGCCGCGCGCGCTTCTTGAACAAGAGCAGGGTACAGTGGAGCAGGAAGAGGACCAAGCAGCGGGGAACGATGACCGTGGAAGAGGTCCAAGATGCCAAGCAGGTCGTGGGAGGAATGCAGGGAGAAGTGACGGAGACATATTCAGAAGAGAGAATGAGGAAGAGGAGGCCGCTGTTTGAAAGGATGAGGAGGATCAGGAAGATGAGGAGGCAGATGTTTGAAGGAGGGAGGAGGAGGAGGAGGAGGAGGAGGAGGAGGAGGAGGAGGAGGAGGAGGAGGAGGAGGAGGAGGAGGAAGGGGAGGAAGAGGAGGAGGAGAAGGAAGACAGGAGGAGGGATGCTGAAGAGAACGAGGAGGAATCGAGGAAAGAGGAAGAGGAAGAGGAGGAGGAGGAGCGACCCTTATGCCACGCCGCTTTTTCGCCGTACTTGCCAGAACGCTGTCAACTCGACGGGTGCAGTGCTGTTTCCGCCTGACCCTTAAGGGAGAGGGCCTGGCTGCGTGGCGCCAGAGGGTAACACGATTTTATGTGCCATGGCTCCTACTGTTGTGCGATGGATGTGCAGAAGGCGTGGTATTAAGAGTTTAGTCGGCCGTGCCAGATGCCCTTCCGCGAACGCAGCCTGATCCTTCACTCCGACGGGGGGGCACGTAGGGAAGGCATGCCCCTCCTTCTCCTCCCCCTCCTCCTACTCCTCCCCCTCCTCCCCCTTTCGGGGGTGGACAGAACCCCCAACGGTGACATGTCGATTAGTGAATTGTCCGTTTTCGGTTCTCGGGGGGCCTTACACTATTACAGTACCCCTACCAGACGGCCCTTGCATCGGGCAGGCACGGTTGCGCAGGACACGGAGCCGGGATTCCGGACATGCCTTTTCTTTTCGTCACGGGCTATTTATCATCCAGGACATGTGGTGCCATGCCATGGCATGCAATGCGATGTTGCGTTGTGTTCCGCTGTGCGATGCCATGCTTTACGATGATACGTTTTGTGATGCATTGCAACACTACGCAATGCCAAGCCATGCTACGACATGCTCTGCTCTGCCGCGCTCTTCTACGCCATGCTATGCCACGCTTCACCATGCATCGCAAACCCTCTCGGGATCATTGCCTTGCTCGATGCCAGCCTGCGCGCATAAATAGGACATCTGCGCCACGGTAAGGATTGGGAGAGGGGCATGACGATACATATGACGCGAGCGCACCTAGCTGCCGCTTGCCCTTCTCCCCATCCTCCCCCCTCCCTCTCCTCCCCCTCCTCCCCCTCTTCCCTCCTTTTTCCTTCTCCTTTTCTTTTTCCTCCTCCTCCTCCTCCTCCTCCTCCTCCTCCTCCTCCTCCTCCTCCAGGGCATTGGCTCTGGGCCACGGGAGGGACGCCGGATTGCTTCTGCTTCGAGGCCGCCGCGGCGGCGGGGCAGGCCTCGGCCTTCCCCGCCGGCCAGATGCCACGTGCCTCGGGCCGCCCAGGAGAAGGGCGAGGAGTCCAGCAGCGGCGAAGCGTCCTGGCTCGCCTATAGCCCTACCGAACGATGTTCTAAGAATCTCTTGTGGCTGCCACGAAATATCCTTAGAGCATTTCTGGCGGAGTCTGCCTTGTTTTAACACATCGGGATTATGCTCTAAGAACAGTGTTCTTGTTCTTAGAACATTTTCGGGTTCTGAGAACATGTCGTGTTATGTATAGGAATGCCGGGACGGTCGGTCCCTGCTCAAAGGAGAGAGGATGGACGATGACGAGCAGGGATACCCAGAGCCCCTTGAGCAATGACAAGATCATGACGGGAGCTTTTTGGCAGGTTTCGGCATCCGGGGGCCCTCGCCGGGCCTCGGGGTCGTCAAGAAACGACTCGGGATGAGAAAGCGGTCCCGTGGAGTGGCTCGAGACCTCTGGGGGGTGATGTTATGAAAAAGTCATGACGTTGGGGGTTTGGGTCAGGAGTTCCAGAGGAAGAACACACGCACAGACACAAATAATCGCCGATTTTCAGGAAAGCATAGAACAGATGGGAAGTGGCGGGGACCTCCAACCTCCAGGACATCTGGAAACAGATGGGGATCCTGGGATTCGTGCCCATTCCTTCGGGTGTCCCGGGGCCCCTTCGAGGGACGAGTGGGGAGGCAGGACGACGAGGCCGAGGAGGAGGAGGGCGGGACGACGGCGTGGACGACGGGCCCCGCTCGGGCCCCGCGAGGGCCCGAGCAGGCGCCACGCCGCGCGCCGCGCCCAGGCGGCAGGCCCGCATCGCAGTGGGGCGGCATGTCGGGCATCTGAGCCGTGGGCCGCCGGCGGGAAGCCCCCCCCCTTCCTCGGGAGCGGCAAAGAGGGGGGTGATGACTAGGGGTGGGTGGGTATCATGGCGGGGGCCATGATATTTCCCTAGATTTCATGGCTTCTCTTCCTGTTTCATTGCGTCCCTGGCCCCAAAGCTGGGGCGCGCACATGCCGCCGGTCATGATTTGCACCCCCCCCTCTTGGACACCCCCCTCTTGGCCGCTCCCGCCTTTCCCAGACCTCTGGCGACTCGACAAGCGGTCGGGCCGAGGTGTGCGATCGAGGTCGGCTCGGGGAGGGTACGGCCAGCCCGAAGAGGAAGGATGGGCCCCCGGCGGGGGCCCCTCCCTTTCCCAGACTCGGGTGTAGCCAGGACTCCAGGTCAGGGGGCCCGGTTAGTGGTGAGGCCCCGGAGCCCCTAAATTGGCTAGAGAGTCACTAAGCCAGGTATGCTGTGACTGGTGTTTTTTGTCGGATGACGGCAGTTCGGGTGAGTGGAACGGAGCGGGGGGGCGTCTCCCAGTACACATCACTGAACCAGGGCCCACTAAACCCAGTTCTGCCAACGCCCGACAGACCTCTGGCGACTCGACAAGCGGTCGGGCCGAGGTGTGCGATCGAGGTCGGCTCGGGGAGGGTACAGTCAACCCGAGTAGAAAGGATGGGCAACCTTCCCACGGATACCCATGCATCCTTGCCTCCTCGGTCCACCCGTGGCCACCTTCGTTGGCCGCGCTCCGCTCGGATAGCTTCGAAATGGGCGTCCAAGACCCTTGCATCCTTATCGCGCATCCTTATTCTACGGATTGATTCTACCCCAGTCTTCTCCGTGTTTGTTGGATGTTCTTTATGCATCCTGGGTGAGGGGCTACCCGCGAAGGTTCTTCAGTGTGTTCGACGGGAGGGCCTCATGCTCTCGAATGATGCTCTTGTGTCCAGGGTGCATCCGTAGTCACGCCCGATGTGTGTTCAAAGTGAGCGTTGTTCAGAGGAAAAGGGGCTGATACAGCTGACCTTTTCCCGCCTTCCCCCACGTTCGGCCTCCAGAGGGAGGCCCTCGTTGCCACCGCTGGACTCGCCGTTCGATTCTGGTCAGAGCGCACCCCAGGAGCGGTCTGCGGAGCAGCGGCATCGGTACAGCGCCGGTTTTAATACATGCTCCGCGTGCGGATCATGTATTAGAAATGCAGGGGGGTAGTATCAAAAACAACGATGAGTTCATGGATACATTTATTCATAACATAAATGAATATTGTAGTATTAATGCTATATGTTTACAATTCCCATGTATTAAGAACTGCCATGTACCTGCTGGCCTCCCCAGTTGTGATCACCCTCGGCGGCCGGAGGCCCTTCGGGACCGTCGGGAGGCTGCTCACGAGGAGATGCTGGCCCCACGGGGAGGGTTCGGGTATGGCCAGGGCCCCGGGTAAGGGGACCCGGTCAGTGGCAGGGCCCTGGGGCCTTTCAATTGGCCAGATTCACGACACCAGGTTTGCCGTAACTGGTGCTTTTGCTCGGGTGACGGCAGTGCCGGTTAGTGGAAACGGGACGGGGGGGGGGGGGGCGCCCCCGGTACACATCACCAAACCAGGTCCCTTTAAACCCAGTTCTGTCAACGCCCGAAGGGTATCCAGAGTGCGTGGGCCCATGGTCAGAAGAGGCTGTCCAGTGGAAGTCTTGGGTACTCTTCCCCCCTCGGCATCCGCTGCACTTCTTGTCAGGAGGGGAAGGTCTACACAGGCAGCACGGATCGTCGATTCCCAGGGAACGCGGGAAAACATGGGAAGCGGGGGGAAGACGAGAGTCCAGAAAAGATGGCAAACATAGGGAATCTTTGGATTCGGGTACATTTATTTGTGTGTCCTCTCTGACCAGGCTCGTCCTGCGCCAGGCGTCTTGGCGCCTTCCTCCTTTCCATGGTGGCGCCCCCTCTGGCTCCTCTCTGGTGCTCCCGAGTCCCCCCCGCCCTGCCTCGCTCCTCCTGCTCACTTCTCCCTCGGCTGCCTCTCAGTCTTCTCTCCTCGGTCGCCAGCCGCTGCTCACTGCTCCCGCACTCCTGCTCCTCATCCCCCCACCTGCACCCTCCGTCCCTCCTCGGCCGGCGCTTCCTACGCAGCCAGCTCCTCTCCGATCCTCAGGCCTCCTGGGTCCCCTGGTCCCGAAGGCTGCCCGTCCCTCGCTCCTCCCCGAAATCGCTCTCCCTGCTCCGCTCCTCCTGCTCGCTTCCTCCCCGTCTGCTGTGGCCTCCTGCTTGGGCCCCCTGCCGCCCCTCGCCGCGGTTCGGCAGCAGAGCATTGGGAGCCTCCGTGTACCCTCGCAAATCTGCCTTCAGCGTCGACTGGCGTCGGTTAGCGTCTGGGAGTCGATGAGATAGCGCCGATGTAACGTCCTGGCATCGCTCGGACGTGTGCATTTATTTCTCGGCGACGGCCATCGAGGACCATCATTGATCATTTGGCGAAAAAACACGCACGACATCGAAACATACACGAGGAATGGACGTCCGAGCGACGGCGAGACGTTGGTTAGCGTCGATTAGCGTTGATTTAGCGTCGATTCGCAAACGCCGACAAGATGGTATGGGAGGCTCCCATGGGTTGCCACCGAACTGTGGAAGAGGGAGGCTGGAGGGGAAGGCCGGGGCAAGGAGAGACGGCACCACCAGGGGGGCCACCTCCAGCAAGGAGGTCCACGATGCCTCCCCGAGCTTGGGAAAGTGGATGTCTCGAGCGAGAGGGGGGGGGGGATCACGGCGCCAGGGGGGCCCCCCCGGCTCCTCTCGCTCGTGGTCCCTGTCGGTGGTGGTGCTGATCTTCCTCGTTCCCAGAGGAGCAGAGGGGGGATGGGAGCGAAGGAGAAGACAGTGCCATCGCTGGCGGACTCCTTCCTTCCCCCCCCCCGCCAACATCCACCGCAGTTCTCCCTCCTCCTCCTCGGTCGCCATCCACTGCTCACTACTCCGCACTCCTGCTTCGCATCCTCCCCCCTGCGCCCTCCATCCCTCCTCGGCCGGCGCTGCTTGCACAGCCAGCTCCCGTCTGATCCTCCTCCGCAGGCCTCTTTTGGGCCCCCGTGGTCCCGAAGGCTGAACGTTTATCGTGCCTCCTCGCTCTTCCGCCCTGTTCGCTCATCCTCTGTGCTCCTCCACTTCTCTCCCTTCGCATTCTCCGCTCACTCCTCTGTGCCTTGCTCTCCCTGCTATTCCTACACTCGCCTCCACTTCCTCTCGCCTGAACCCTCCGTCGGCCCACCACCCCGTCACCGCTCATCCTTTTCCTCCTCCCTCCCCTGTGTTTCATCGTCCTGCTCCACCGTCCCCTCCTTCTCATTCTTAGAGTCGTCCTCCTCCCTCCGAGTCCTCCGCTCTCACCTTCCCCTCCTTCATCCTCGTCCTCCACTTCGCCCTGTTCTTGGTTGTCATCATCACCATTTCTTCAAGGTGCTCCAGCTGCGCGTCGGGATCGTTGAACCCCCGCCTACAGCTGTCTGCCAGAATCCCTGGTCCAGGAAAGCAGCCGATCCGCGGGCTAGTCTGATCGAAAACCCGTCGGTCGACTTGTACGTGTGACCTCCATGCGGCCTCACTGGATTCTTTCATGAGAACCCTGCTGCAGTGTTTCGTCCAGAGCGAGTTCGTCGCAGGGGCGGAGCGCGCTATCGCCGAGCGGGTGGCGGGTGAGTCTCGAGGGTATCGTTACCTGGGCCTCGCTCTGTTCTTCTTCGACCTGACGGCGCGCTCGCCCGCAAAGCGCTCACAGGGGCAGCCTCCCGGCAGCCTCCCGAGCCTCCTCGGCGCCGCAGCGGCCGGCGGGCAGCCCGAGCCGTTGCTGCTGCACGGCAGCCGCGGCTCGGCCCCCCGGTGGGGAGAGCCGCGGCACATGCCCTGTGTGTCGCCGGCGGGGCGAGTCGCCGCCGCGAGGCCGACATGGGTCGCCCCCGCGGCGCGGCGTGGGAGGCCGGAAAGCGGCGCCGAGGGGCACGCGCAGCGGAGGTCGGCGCTGGAGCTCCGGAGGAGGGGGAGACGCCGACGCCGCGGCTCGTCCCGGAGGCGCCTCGCCGCCACGGCTGGATCCTCCTCGAAGTTCTGTCAGTTGGGGGTGGACAGGCCTCCTGCCCTGACACGTCGATTAGGGAATCGGCCGTCTTCGGTGCGCGAGGGGGCGTCGCGGCCGTCAGTTTTTGCGGGTCCGGGTCCGTCGGTTTCGGCCCCGGGACGTTTTCACGAAGGGGAGGTCTACTCATAGGGAGGTTTGTCCAGCGCCGGGTCGGGGTGCACCTGTGGGTGGGTCTGGGGAGCAGCGGCATGGGTGCCTGCTCTGCCCCCTCCCCCCATGGAGCGGGCCCCGGCAGCAGCCCTCGCGGGCGTCGCCCCCGTTCGGCCCCTGGGCCGATCCCCGGGCGGCCCGGCTGCCCCGCGCGCCCGGGGGCGGCGGCAGGCGGCCGCACGGGCGCGGGCGGGGAGCGGGCGAGAGCTGTGCCGCGCGGTCCTCGCAGTTTGGGATTGGCATTGTCTGAGTTCAGAGCGTGAATTACCTACCCCGCTTTCGCTTCCAGGCAAAACCAAGTCATACCACGCGCCTCCTCGTCAAGCGGCCTGACCAGTACAGGCCGTGGTTTGGCATCGCTTGGTATCTCTTGGAAGCGAGGATGGTCAAAAGCGAGGTAGGTTTGTTTTCCCCCTATAAGTATTCTCTGCCGCCACAACCATCCTCTTCCTTGTCCGTCGCCTCCCCCTTCCTCGCTTCTTCACTCTCTCGTTCGCCGTTTTCTCAATCCTCGACCGGCCGTTTGTCCGCATGGTTATGGAGTTCGCGTCGATGTGGTTCCGTTCGATTCCTGTTCCTGTTTCTTCTCCTCCCTGTCTCCCTACCTTCCGGTGCACCTGCTCTTCCCCACTGCTCCTTATTATGTTCGTCCACCGCTTGCGTGTCGTCATCGGCCCCGCCCTCCCTCCCTTTCGTCGCCGCCTCTCCGTTCCTCCTTCCCTTTCCTCACTCGCCCATACCCTCCTGCTCATCTTAGCCACTTCTCGATCCTCGTCGTTCCTCGTTTGCCCGCTCCGTCTTCGCGCTCCCGCTCCCACGCCTGCTCGGCAGCCTCGCAGCCTCCCCAATTCTGCGCCTTACAACGTATTATTGCGCGCTGCGCCGGACGACGTATTATTGCGCGCTGCGCCGGGACATGAGCCGCGGCGAGATTCCGCCGCGCGCGGCCCAGGAAGGAGCTTCAGGTGGAGGAGCGGGAGGGGAGGAGATAGCGAGCGAACGAGCGAGAAGAGGGGGAGTGGGAATGGAAGAGGATGGGGGTTCGTTGGACACGAGGAGGAGGAGGAGGAGGAGGAGGAGGAGGAGGAGGAGGAGGAGGAGGAGGAGGAGGAGGAGGAGGAGGAGGAGGCCCTGAGGAGTCGGAAGAAAGGAGCATGCGGATGGCAACAAGCATGTAAAGTGAACGAAGAGAAGCAGGTGTGAATTTGAAAAGGAGCAGCAGGCGGAGGGAGGAGGGTGAAACAGAAGAGAGAGTGGAGACGGTCAACAAGACGATGAGGAAGCACATGAGGAAGTGAGGGGGAGGAAGATGTATAGAAGAATGATGAGGAGGAGGAGAAGGAGGGGTCAGGGGAGGGGCTAGGAGGCAGGGGAGATATAGCAACTTCCGGGATATTGTTCGAGGCGGTTGGTGGCGTTTGGTGACACGTCATTGCTTTGATTCGTGGAGGTGCGGGGTTTTGGAGGCATTCGATTCTTAGGTTGAGTGTCTACAGCTGCACCTCGTCGAGAGTTTTTTCAAGAGCGCCAGCATTGTTCAAGACGGTGTCGTGCCCCCCTCTGGCTCGAATTACGGACAGCAAGCACCGTCTGGCAATGGAGTCTGTTTGCCCTTGCGCTCATAGCTTTCCCCTCGGCAGACGTAAGCGTCTGGAGGTGCACTGCGATGTAGGCGCATGTGTGTGCGCACGGGGCAAATGCATGTACACGCAAATGTTATATGCGGACATCCGGACCCAGAAACACATCGCCTCACGGTATCACCGGCAAGGCCCACAAAATCGGTGGGCTCGCGAATTGTTTTGTCCGCTCTGCGTCCCCTCAGCGTTCCTCCCTCTCCAGACAAGAAGGGGGCACGAATTCGGTTGAGCAAGCACTCTGCCAGCCACTTCGTGGTACCAAGCCCAGAGAGAGCGAAGATACTCTGCCACACCGGTGATGCACTGCCAGGCGCTGAGCATGCTGCCCAAGCCGTGCCAGCCACGACGTGGCCTTAAGCCCTGAGCGAGCGGGAGCGACCCGCTTCGCCGCTGAGGCACAGCGGGGCAGTGCGATTGGTGCCCGAGATGTCAGGAGACCAAAAGGCCGCACGGTTTCCGCCCCAACATGTTTTTGCCCTCATGGGGCGTACACTTAAGTCGGGCATGTCCCTCTACAGGAGGAATTCTTTACGCTTCGCGTATCCCCACCAGCCCATCTCTCAACAGCAACTCTTGCGAAGCATGCCGACAGTCGTGTTTTTCAGGCGTGTTTCCGCCTGCCCCCGCATATCTCCCCCGTTACTCCTTCCTCCCGCCTCCTTGTACATCCTCCTTGTGGGGGGAGCGGGAGAAGGACGAGGCGGAGGAGGAGGGAGAGAAAGCGCGCCTCGTGGTTTGAGTCGTTTGGGGTTTCTCGTCCTGGTGTGAGTCGTTCGGGGTCCTTCTTCCTGGTGTGAGTCGTTCGGGCTCTTCGTGGCCCTCATGGGGCGTACACTTAAGTCGGGCATGTCCCTCTACAGGAGGAATATCCGAAAATAGTCCAAACATTATTTTGGAATATGTTCCTGCAATTTGAAGGTATTTTCGATTATTTTTCGCTCTTCTTCCAAAATCCCCCTGCAGGGGGACAGGCCCGACCCAAGCGCGCACAAACGTTCGAGGCGCAAGGTGTCATGATCATATGTGTCAGGATTTCCAGGTCCTTTCTTGTCATGAGTGGTCAGGTGCGAATGGCCAAGTAGGATTGGTCGATGGGCGTTGGCTGCTAGAAGTTCCAGAACTCCCAGAACATATTATGAGCCAACCGCATCATGCTATCATTCTTGGCTTGAAGTTCTCGACGGTCTGACTTTCCATACTATCGGCCCCCCCCCTGAGGCCTTCGTCGGAACCCTGGACCTTCGCAAAATGCTCCGCGGTGGAAGCCCGTTCCAGGGATGGAATTGGGAGTTCCAGGACTCCCGTCGTGAACATAACCCAGGCGTCGCAAGTCTGGGGATGCCTCTTGTTGAAACGGAGAAACATCAGCGGCGAGGGATTGCAAAGAGCATTCGAGGGTACCCTCCCACAGGATGCACAAGACCAGAACCTCTCCCCTTCCCCAGCTGAGGGGAAGAAGAGGGGGCTAACGAGCGAGAGTCGGTCCCCGCTTCTCCCTCTCTCTCTCTCTTCTCCCTTTCCCTCTCTCTCTCTCTCGCACCTGCTCTCTCTCTCTCTCTTGCCCTGCCTGCTCTTAAGACGGGGAAGGACGTGGCGGCTGCGGCCTGCCCCCCCCCCCCCTCCCGCGGAGCCCCATGCGCGCCTTCGAGCGCAGGGTGGGGCGCTGCTTCTGCCCTTGCGCACCGACGCAGGTGCGGCGACCACCCCGCAGTGTCCGACGCGCTGGAGCTGATGCATCTGCTGAAGGCTCTCGGCCTCCGGCGATCGTCCTTGGGATCCAGGGCCGCCGAGATACCTCCTGTCGCAGTGAGAGCTGCACTGCGGGCTGTCGGGAGAGCTGCACTGCGGGCTGCAGTACAGGCTGTGATGAAACGGGTGCCCCTCCATCGGTGCCCTCGGCGGGCCCGGAGAGCCTGGCGTGGCAGGGCTTCTTCGCAGCGGGCGGCTTCGCCCTGCTTCGGGCCCCCCGGGGCCCTCGCAGAGCGATCCAGTCCGAACGGTGGCGCAGAAAGATGGGGTCTGAAAGCTCTGGTCGTCACGTTTCGCGATGTTGCAATTTTTGTTCGCAACGTCGGGTCTGTAATGTCGGGTCTCAGGGGGGGAAAGGGCAGAGGGGCGGCAAAAAAGGGGATGGATAGGATTCACATTGAACAGATCAGGGCCAGTCTTGCTAAGCCCCAGGCAGCGATCTGCGCAGACTCTTCGATGATGGATAAAGGTCGTGCGTAGAGGAGTCTAGCTTGATGTGATGCCGTACGTAGAGCAGCCCATCGCACTCCAGCTAGACGGGATTTTGGTAGGCGCGACGGCGTACGTCGTGTAGAAGAGGGAGGAGGGACGAACAGAGGATGGAGGAGGGGGCGAAGGAGGAGTTGGATGAGGAGTTGGCCAGTGCGCAGCCGAGTCAAGAAAGGGTACGGGGCCTTTTGGGTTGAAGTAGGGTAGAGTTGACCGGTTCCTGCACCGCATCGGACCTCGCCCTCCTTGTTTCCTTCTCTATTTCAGTTTCCCGTTTTCTGTCTTTGGTATTCATCAATTGCACCTCGCTTTCTGTTTTCTTCTTTCATCGACCTTTCTTTACTGATCTCCTTACCGTTCCTCTTCGTCCCTTCTCCCTTATCAAGATGACGGGACCATGACGCAAGCTTTTTCAGATCCATGATGGCCGCACATCGTTCGAAAGTGCTTCACAGGTTCTCTCTGTTCACTACTGTCTGTTGTATTTTATTCCGTGTCCAGGTATTCATAGTTGTTGCACGCGTATGAATCACCTCGCGGTGACTTGTTGGCATGATCTCTCAGTTGCAGGGCATATGATTTGTAATGGCACGCCTGGCAAGCTTCAGCAACAGCATATGGCAGAACGGTTTTGCTGTCCAGTCGTTCGAATGTAACGTGCGCCCCGGTTGTACACACACACCCGTCTGTCTGTATGTGTGTGTGATGTATCTCCCTCGCATTTACACTTCTCAAGCGATTGTATCGTCGGCTCGAAAGTCTGCTGGGAAGCAGGCTCCTGTTCCCTAAGCAACTTCTCTGCACTGATCCCACACGTTGCTGCTGCGGCCTGGCGTGAGCCCTCCCCGATCCGGCATCGGTGGATGGTGGTCTCTCCCGAACGGACTTCCGTATGGTCTCCCGCATGGTCTCCCGTATTGATTTTGGTGGTACGGTCCCGCGTATCGCCCCGTGTGGCCTCCCGTGTGTTGCTTCGTCTGGTTTGGTGTGCGGTCTCTCTTATAGTATTGCATGTGGTCTCCATGGTGGTCTCACCGCAGTGCTCTCTGCCGCACGCTTGGGAGCAGTATGTTCCATATGTTTGCCTACGCGCCGTCAGGGCGCGGTTTCGCTCGTTCCTGCGTGTCATACTCTCTAGAGAACTCCGTCTTTACGATGGGCTTCGCCCTCTGCTGTCGGCGCCCCACCCCCACGGGCTGCTTTCATGGCCACGCTCGGCCGGTATGTTGGTGGATTCTCTCGTCGGTCGGTTGGCTGGCGACTCGCTTGGTCGTCCCGTGGCCCAGGCTGAGTCGTGGGACCTGTTCTGTGCTGCTGGCGGGCTGGCTGCGCACGTCTGTGGTCATCAGGGATGGGGGGCGGTGGCCTCGGGCGCGCGCCGCGCGCCCGCGCCCCCGCGGCGAAAAGCGGCGCGGCGAGAAGAGCACCCCGAGCGCGTGCCCAAGCAAGGGGACAAGATGGGAAGGGACGGGGGCGCGAAGCGTGCCCCCCGAACGGAACGCGTGCCCCAGCACAGAACAGGAGGCGGTGGGGGGGGGGGCGGAGAGTGCCCACCCGGACACCGCTCCCAGAACAAAAGCATCCTGGGGGGGCGGGGGCGGGGGGGCGAACGGCGCTTCTCTCCCGAGCCGGGCACCTCTCCCAACGGGCAGCGAGCGTGCTGGCGTGCCCGCCCCGGAGAAACAGAGGAAGCGCGCGCGGCGCTCCCGGGGCAGCCCCCCCCCCCCGCGGGGGGTGGGCTCGTGGCCCCGGAGGGGCGCCACACGCGCGTGCCCAGAGCGTGCGAGGGGCGCCCGCGGTGTCCCCGGTTCCTGGCCAGCAGCGGCTCCCGGCAGGCCCGTTTCCGGCTCCTCGGGAGCTGCCTCTGCTCTCCCCCGGCCTATAGCTGACACGGGGCATGCCACGGCAGCCTCGGAGAAGAGCACCGCTTCGGGGGCGCGCGCGCGAGTCTGGCGCCAAGGGGCGAGGGACTGCAGCGCGGGGGCGGGCCTGGACGCCCGAAATGGGTACGGAAAGAATGGGTACAATGCCCAACAGCAGTTCCTGTTCATTCTGAACAGGACTCGCTGTCCACGCCGCCGCGGCCTGTGTCCATTCGAGGCAGAAGGCCGCCTGCCCAACAGCGGCCGCTGTTGGTTTGGGACAACATGTTCTAGGCCTCCAAGATGGGGCCGGTGTAGATGTGGTCGAAGGACTGCGCCGCATCGCCGATGCATCGGCGATGCCGCTCGATGCGGAGCCCGACTTTCACCACGTCAATGGTGCCAATGCATCGCCGATATCGCCAGTGCAACGCCGATGCATTGGCGATGCGTCGCGATCCTTCGACCCCATCTACTTGGACCCCATCTAGGAGGCCTCTACATGTGCTGTTGGGCATTGCGCCCATTTTTCCGTACCCATTTCGGGCGTCCAAAGCCTAGTTGGCGCGGAGCATGCCACGACAGCCTCGGAGAGCCTCGCCTCGGGGGCGCGCGCGCGAGTCTGGCGCCAAGGGGGGCGAGGGGCCTGCAGCGCGGGGGCGGGCGGGGAGGGGGGGGGGGGGGAGAAGCCCTGCGCACTCTGCAAGGGAGCGTGCGGCCTCGGGAGCGCGACCTGACGCGCTTGAGGACGAGGGGCGGGCAGTCTGGGGGGGGCAGGGAGCCCGTTGAACTTGCACGCGATGGTGCTGCAGGGGCCGCGAGCCGGATGCAGTGGGCGAAGGGTTGCCGACCCTGCCGATCGGATCCTCGCCACAGTCATTCGCTCGGGCCACTGGGTGTCTCAACACGCCCCTGCATCGTGTTCCTCCTGCTCCCCCTTTCATTCAGAGCGTGAATTACCTACCCCGCTTTCGCTTCCAGGCAAAACCAAGTCATACCATACGCCTCCTCGTCAAGCGGCCTGACCAGTAAATGCCGTAGTTTGGCATCGCTTGGTATCTCTTGGAAGCGAGGGTGGTCAAAAGCGAGGTAGGTTTGTTTGCCCCCTATTTATGGTGCAGGTCGGGTGGCTTGGAAGAGGAAAGCGCCACTGCAGTCTACAGACAACTCTTACCGAATACGAATGCAGCGTCCTGCCATGATCACGTCCTCTTCTGGGTGCTTTCCCAACTTACAATGTTTCTGGCTTGCGCCCACTTTGGTCGTGCCATGATGAGGATGTACGATCGTGTTTTGTTGTATGTCCACTCGCTGGTTCGATCTCTCGTGCAAAGTGGCAATGCGTTGCCCGCACTCGCGTGCAAGCAGCCGCACGGCTTTTCTCTTCATCCCTACGATCGGATCGATCAGAGCATGTCACATGGCCCGACATCTACCATGCCACAGCGAATGATGAGATGGAGAAAACTTGGTCGCAGGCCCATATCTCGGCGGCGAGCTCGGGGGGGAAATGAGAAGGGGCGGGCCTTCTCAGACGGCTCGGAAATCCCCAGCCGTCTGAGAAGTTGTCTAAGCCTTTCTCGAAGACGCCAAGAAACTCTCAAGATGCGCGAGGGCCTTATGAGAAGTCCCACCGCCTTCTGAGAAGGCCCTCCCCTTCTCATTTCCCCCCTCGCTCGCCGCCGACAACGGCAGAGCAGAACGTAGTGCTCAACGAACGCGGGCGGGGAAGCAGAGGACTCGAATCTCTGCCCAGCAGAGATGCCCCCCTTGGGCCTCACCAAGCAAGCCGGAGGCTGGGAACCCAACCATACCCTGACCAACTGGTCAACAATATGCACACGTGATAATGGGGTGACGCAGGCCCAAGCCGGGGCCTGATCTCCAGCTCATTTTTCCTGACCAGCGGCTAACTAGCCTTAGCGCCAGCAACGCTGTGCCTTCGGGAGGAATCCACGCGAAGGCAGTGGACAATCATGGGCCGCCCTGCACCCTGCGCCACAATGGCGCAAGAAGTTTCAGGAGCGGCTCCCCTGAGACGAGGACACGGAGCGTTGCCCAGCGCCTGCACCCCGCCAACCACGGCGGCAGCGTGCCCGGGTAGGAGGGCGTTGCTATCGACAGGGTGCAGGCCGAGAGCCACGGGCGTGGGATGGAGAAGGCGGAGGAGAAGGTGGATGTGGAGAATGAGGACGCTTCCCCCTCCTCCTCCTCCTCCTCCTCCTCCTCCTCCTCCTCCTCCTCCGCCTCCTCCTCCTCCTCCTCCTCATCATCGTCATCATCATCATCATCATTCTCTCTCTCCCCCCTCCTCCTCCTCCTTCTCTCCCCCCTCCTCCTCCTCCGCCTCCTCCGTCTCCTCCTCCTTCTCTTCCCCCTCCTTCTCTTCCCCCTCCTCCTCTTGGCCATTCCGCAGGGGGGGGCCGTGCAGCGAGGGGCAAGCTTCGGAGTGGCAATGCCCCCGCGAGCCATCAAGAGCCCAGGAGGCCCCGCGTTCCTCCCTCCCCCTAGGGGACCTAGCCTCAAGGGTTTGGGCACACAGCGACGACGCCAGCTACAGAGTTGCTATCGAAGCGAGAGCTGAAGTGGAGCGGCACTTGCGCAAGAAGCAGGCGTCTCTGCCGCAACTCAGCGAGATGCGGAAGGCGAGTCATGAGCCCGATCTTAGCCGCTACAGCGTACGGATCAGGGCAGGCGCGAAGGACAGCTGTGGCCAGCCGCGGAGTGGAGTCGAAGCCAGCGTCATTAGCAACCTTCGGGCCATGGCTTGAGAGAAAGGCGGGGAGGCGAAGGAGAGCCAGGCCCTCCACACGACCCCAGCTGGAATGCAGGGACCAGGGGGGGAGGATGAGAGAAGGGCGCGCAGTGACAGCAAGCGGAGGCCGTCGGAGGTGAAGCTGGAGCCAGACGTTATCAGCAACAAAGGCCACGGCGTGCGGTGCTGGCGCTGGGAACAGTGCGTGCGGGAAAGGCACGCAGTGGTAGCGAATCCAGTGCTATTGCGCGAGAGGAGCATCAGCAGGAGGATCGGCCGCTGGTCAACCACAAAGAGGCGACGAAGTCAGAGACCGACGTCATGAACTGCAGCGCTGGGAGCAGGGCGAGAGCGAAGGGGCAGCGGCGAGCGGCTGAGACTCCATTCTGCGAGAAGCGGGAGGCCAAGTCCCAGCACGATGCTGATCGTGATCTGGGCGAGCGAGAACGACGAGCAGTGGCAGCAGGCTCCTGGCGCTATTCGCCGAGAGGTGGAAGGCGAGGCAGAAGCCCGACGTCATCGGCTGCAGCGCGGGGGCCAGGGCGCGCGAGAAAAAAAAGGCGAACGGCACGCGACGCTGATACCGTTCTGCGAGAAGCGTGGGGCGAAGTTAGAGCCCGATGCCATCAGCTACGCTGGCAGGGGCAAAGCTGCAAGGATCAGCTCGTGCGAGAAGGCAGTCGTGGCAGGCGGAATCGCTTTCAGCTTCAAACGTATACAGTCTGGCTCGGGGGCGGCCCGAGTGTCTGTGCATGGACTCGGTCGGGGCGTCGCGCGCGGCATATCGATGGAGATGTGCGGGGAGTGGCGCATTCGTCGCCTTTCGTTCTGTGGGTAGCTCGAACCAACGCTATCAGCCATTATTGGCTTTGTGCGCAAGGCCCACAGTCGCCATACTCTTTTCTGCTGGGCTGGTTACGGTCGCGAGCAGGAGTGTCATCCTCTTGGGCCCCTTAACGGAGGGCCCCAGGACGCAGTTTATGGCAGTCCATGACAGTCCCGTCCTCTTCTTCCTCGCTCAGAGGAGGAGGAGGTGGAGGAGGGGGAGGAGGAAGAGGAGGAGGAGGAGGAGGAAGTGAAGAGGAGGAAGGGAGGAGGAGGAAGGGAGGAGGAGGAGGAGGAGGAGGCTGAGGAGGAGCAGGAGGAGGAGGAGGAAAAGAGCAGGAGACGAGCAGGTCAGGAGGAGGCTGAGTCCGTCCGTCCGTCCCCGCCAGGCGCAGGGACCAAGCTTGGGTATCGATCCCAGCTTGTGGGTGTCGTCCAAGCTCGACAGGAGCCCGCGCGGCAGCGCCCAGTCCAGTCTCTCTCTCTCTCTCTTTCTTCCCCTCTTCCCCACTCCCTCTCTTTCTCTCTCGATCTCTCTCTCTCTCTCTCTATATATATATGTAGATCCACACACCCACACACGAGCCTGGGCGAACCTTTCCGAGGCCCGCCGCTTGTTGAGGAACATCGTAAGTCAGGCACGCGCTGGCGATGTGTTTGGTTGCATGTCCCGTGGTGATGTGTGCGGGGGCCGCACTCGGCGTGCACGCACGCACGCACGAGCCCGGGCCAACCTGTTCGAGACTCGCCTTTGGCCGAGCAAGATCGTAAGTAAGGCAAACGCAGGCGAACTGTTTGGCGTCATGTCCATTTGTGCGATCTGCGGTGACTGTAATGACCGTATTCGGGTTTGCGTCTTCTTGGATAACGCAGACGCGGCCTCTCTCTGGCGTCGTGCACGCCGCACCGCGCTCATGGCTGCCCCTTTTCGCGGGCATGCGTGGGTCCAAGAGCCCCTCAACAAAAACTCAGGCGTCGGATGGACGTCATTGCACATCGCGCGAGTTGAGTGAGGAGGGGACGGCCAGCGATTGCCCCAGGAGTCCGATTGCAGTCGTATGGTCGAGGACGAGGAGGAGGAAGAGGAGGAGGAGGAGGAGGAGGAGGAGGAGGAGGGCGTGAGCAGGAGGAGGGGGAGGATGCGTGAGATGGTCGAGGTGGAGGAAGAGGAGGAGAAGGAGGAGAAGGAGGAGGAGGAGGAGGAAAGCTTGGGCAGGTAGATGGATGCCGCGGGCGTTGCAGATGATGCAGGCTACCAATGGCGCGGGGGCGCCGACGGGGACCTGGCAGATGCACGATGGGCACCGATCCCCCCCCTTCAGGTCGGCGTGCTCCTCCTCGCCTCGCCCCTGGGAGGAGGGGTTCTTCCTCTGGACAGCCGACCCCGTGTTTCTGTTTTGCTCCCGGCATGGACCCTGCACCTCTCGACTGGGCGTCGCGTAATGGTGGGGGCGATACGTGGGGGGGGGCAGCGAGGGCTGCAGACCGAGGGGGCCCCGTCAGGGCCCAAAAGGGACTTTCGGGGCCCGGGCAGTGCACCACTGGGGCCCAAAGGGGACCGACCTCTAGGGCCCAGAGGTGGGCCTCCCGGGCCCCCTACGTGAAGGGGCCCTCGAGGGCCAAAGCTGGGGACGCTCGGGGCCCGCGAAGTGCACCTTTCCTCTCCCCACCTGTCGCCCTCCTACGAAGCGACGCCCAGCTCCAGTCCTGGGATGTTGTTTTTCCTCCTGGACCTTTCTGCTGGTGGCCTCTCGGGGGATTTGGTGGGGGCTCTGCGGAGGGGGGCGTCGGGCCCCTCAGTGGCATGCCCAGTGGCGAAGCGTCTTGGTTTGCTGACTCTGGATCGCTTACTAATCGCCCCCCCCTGGAGTGACCAGGGGGGTTGGCCGCGGCGCGTCCGCGGGGGTGCCAGGGGGGCTCTGGGGTTCGATCCCTTCCCCGCTGGGGCACGGGGGTGGTGCCTGCGGGGGTTGGCCGCGCCGCGTTTTCACGTTTGTCACCCCCCGGCTGATGAATAAGAAGTTCTGAGTATTCAGCGGTCGTTTGAAGCAGAGATCTCTGGATTCCCAGATCCCAATCTGCTTTCAGTGCCTGCCTACTCCAAGGATCGAGTGACTTCACCTGTTCCCTCCTCTTCAGGGTGCGGGCGGACGCCCAATCTACTGCTCACGTCCTCCTACTTCATGTTTCTACCTACTTCTTCCGACCGATGGGTATAGGCCCACTGAAGAAGGTTCTGAGAAGCTGTCTGTGGTTTGTACAACACGTTCTTAGAAACCGTCTGGTTGAGGCAGTCATGTTTTAAGCCAATCGGCCTTATGTTATGAGCACATTGTTTTGGTTATTGGATCACTCCTTGGTTCCATGAACGTCGTCGTAGGCTTATCGGAATGCTGGGACGGTCGGTCCCTGCTCAAAGGATCGCATTGGCCAGGATCGATGAGTATGTCAGTTTTTGGCATCGTTCTGACGTGTGCATTTTTTCTCGGCGAAGACCGTCGGGGAGCCCTTTATGTCATCTTACGAGAAATGCACGCGCACGAAGCCGAAATCGGCACGGGGAATGGACGTACGAGCGATGGGGGCCGGGATCGATGCGGATTTAAGTTGACATCTCCCCAACGGCGAAGGAATAGCAGTCCGTCGTGATTTTATCTGTGGCGAAGATGGTCTGTGAAGCTTGCCGCTTTCATTCACACCTGCTGGTTGCTCCCCAGGAAGCTCCGCTACCAGCTGGAGGACCCCCTGAGCGTGGCGACCAGACCTCTGAGGGAAGATGACGAAAACTGAGGGGCAGGGAGGAAACGGGGCGAGGAGAAAGGAGGCAGGGGTTAGAGGGAGGAAGAAATGAAGCACGGGGAGGAGGACGTTGAGAATGGGCAGGAGGAAGGAGGGACAAGGTGGAGGGAGGAGGTAGATTTGTTTATTGGTAGCAATGCTTGCACGGGGATTATTCCAGTATGTAGTATATCGATGAGCTCGAGAATCTGTAATACATCGGAGGCGGTTATGAGAGAACGCAGTGCCCCAAACCTGGAAGATCGTTTTAGTGGGTGTCGCGCTTGCGGGCGAGGCGGAGACGCGCGATGGTTGCCGTGTCCTGTGGTTGTCCCCGTGATTGTCCCGCGGTTGTCCCGCGGGTTGTCCGGTGGTTGCCGCGCAGGAGGCCCTCCTGTTGTCCAGTAGGTTGTGTCGTTTGTCCCGTGGTTGTCACGTGCTTGTCCAGTGGGTTGCCCCTCGGGTTGGCCCACGGTTGTCCTGTTGTTGTCCCGCGGTTGTAGCTAGTGACCTTGAGGGAAATGCGTAGTAGAGTTGTATATCTACGCAGGTGGAATGCAATGTAGGTGGGTAGGAAAGAGCGGGTTCTGTAGACGTTGGGAAGGGGGGGGGGTCGAACCGCGGGGGGGCGGCCCTTGAAACGCAAGGAGGGGGGACTGGGGTCGAATCGGAACTGGGCGCCCCGCCCCCCTTGTATTGCAGGGGGGGGGGGTCCGAACCAGGGGAGGGGCCCCCGCCCGTCCCGAGTGGCAACCGACGAAGGCTAGCGCCGGCGCCGTCGCCTGCGCCGTCGGGCAACGACGGCGACGATCGAGCCTTGGCAGGATGTAATCCAGGCTGGAGCGAGGCCCAGTAAGAATCTTTTAGAGTTGGATCGAGCCCTAGCAGGATTAAAATAGAGTATTGGCGATGTATCGAGCCCTAGCAGGGTTGCAGTAGACCTTGACCCGGCTATAGTGGAGCCCGACTAGGGTGCTGTTAAAGTTGGATCCAGCTACATCCGGTTTCTATGAGAGCTGGATCGAGTCCTAGCAGGGTCTAGTTATTGAATCGCTTCGCTCATTCCGCTGGCCCGTGGGGGCCTCTTGGGGGCCTCTTAGGGCCTTTTGGGGGCCTCTTAGAGCCTCTTGGGGGCCTCTTGGGGGCGTCTTGGGGGCCTCCTGAGGGCTCTTGGGGGCCTCTTGGGGCCTCTTAGGGGCCTCTTGGGGCTTCCTGGAGGCCTCTCAGGACCGAGGGCTCGAAATGTTGTTTCATGCTCCCCCTCTGGGGCCGCTCTTGGGGCGCTCTAGGGGCCCTCTTGGGCCGTCTTGGAGGCCTCTTGGGCCGTCTTGGGGCCCTCTTGGGGGCCTCTTGGGCCCTCTTGGGGGCCTCTTGGGCCCTCTTGGGGCGATCTTGGGGGCCTCTTGGGCTGTCTTGGGGCGTCGCGATGCCGAAAAGGTGGAAACGCCCAAATCTCCCCCAAACCTAAGGAACAGCAATGAATTTTGCCTCTTGGGGCCCTCTTGGGAGCGCTCTTGAAAGCCTCGTGGGGCGTCATGGGGCTATCTTGAGCGTCTTGGAGCGATCTTGTGGCATCTCGGACCCTTGGTGTACCATCTTGGGGGCCTCTTGGGCGCTCTTGGCTCTTCTTGGGACTCTCTCTTGGCCCTTCTTGGGACTCACGGGGGCGTCTCGGGGCCCTGTTGGTGCGCTTCTGGAGCGCTCTGGGGGCTTCTCCCCGGACCTTGCCAGGGTACTTTTCGTCCAGGGACCCCCAGGGGCCGCCCCGCGCGCGCGAACTAGAAATATTGTGAACCAGTTACCAGAGATCTTAGCACTCCTCTGGCCCGTTGGGCCGGCGAATTAGAGCTGGATCCAGCTATAATAGGATTCTGTCAGAGTTGAACCGCGCCCGACTAGGGTTCCATTAAAGTGAGATCGAGTTGTGCACGAATCGGATTCCACAAAAGGGGAGGGGATGGGGGGGGGGGGGCGTGGTTCCATCTCCCCACGCCGGTCCGGGAGGCCGGTGTCCGCTCTCCCCATGTTTCTCCGGGCGCTTCTGATGTTTCGGGGGGTGGCGGTTCCGACGTGTCCATTTGCTTGTTGTCCAAGCCGGCGTCCACGAAACGCGTTCTTTCAGATGGCAAGCCATGTGGGTCAAGCAGTGGCGAAGCTTCCTGGCGTGCCTATTGGCCTACCAAGCAATGCTCTAAGAACCTTTTGTAGTTTGCACGGAATGTTCTTAGAACATTTCTGGCTGGGACTGCTTTGTTTTAACACATGGGGGTTCTGCTCTAAGAACATTGTGTTTGTTCTTGGAACACTTCTGGGCTCCAATCCAAGAACACGTCGTGGCAGGCCTATAGAAATGCCGGGACGGTCGGTCCCTGCTCAAGCGTGTACGTGTGCGCATATGTCTGACATGTACAGACAGCTCCAACGGGCGTTCACCTACCCGCAGCGGGCTTCTCTACCCGACTGTGTCTGTCACCACCCACCAAACCACCCCAACCCAACCCGAAGGTATCGATTTGCCCTCCACTTCCAGTTGGGAGGTGGTCGGGGAGCATCGAGAAACCACATATGCAACCCGTACCCCCCCCCCAGCCCGAAATTCGGGTCTTCGGGTTGGGTTGGGGCGGGCTGGTAGGCAGTCAGTCCAGGGATGGGGGCGGCGCGGCAGGTGCCGAGGGCCCCCATCGCACCCGCGGGTCTTCGTTCGCGCCTCGGTGGCGTGTCCCGGCCATAGCCCGCACCCACCGTGCTGCGAGAACTGCGAGGTCTACCGAGCTTGGGTTACGTCGGGCCTGTCCCCCTACAGGGGGGTTTTCGACGAAAAATAAAAGATACCCCAAACGTAATCAAAAAATAATACAAAAATAGTCTGGGGACTATTGTTTGAGTATTTGTTGATCCTTTTGGTGCATTTTTGATGTATTTTTTATTTTTCGTCGAAAATCCCGCTGTAGGGGGACACGCCCGACATAAAGCCTGGGTCACCTCCAGGAATGTCCGTTCGCGCGAGTGTTCGAAGCGAGCGGGGTGTGTCGGAGAGCTCCAAGGCGATTCAGAGACATTCGGGCCCAGAAATTCGCCGCGCTCCAGAATCCGATCTCGGGTGTTTTAGAATCCGGCTCTCTCCGGTGATCCCATATGGCAGGCTTCTCGAGAGTTCTCGCGCGGCCTTGTCAAATTTGCGTTGTGCGCCGATGTCGTAGATTTGTAGAGTTGTTCAGCGAGGCTCTGCGACTACGTGCGAACCCCACCCCTGAGGGCCCAATCGGCGCAGGGGTATCGGCTGGCGTTATTTGAATTCTAGACTCTTCGCGTATCCCCACCAGGCTTTTTATTACTGCAGGTGTGTTGCCTGTTGTAGCTAATTAGCCTCGCCTGCTGGCCCAGACGACTCCTTCCGCTCCCTGTCCGCCGCCTCGGAGCCGCCGATTAAAAAAAGTATCCCCACCAGCCCATCCAGAAACGATGTCCAGGCGAGCTGAGGTGATCAGGGAAATGCGGGAGCAAAGAGAGGGGCGGCCGAACCGTGCGAAGGAGGGAGGAGGAGAAGGAGGAGGCTGGATGGATGGATGGATGAGGGAGCGGGGGGAAGAAGGAGGATGAATAGGATGAGGAGGAAGGTGGAGGAGGATGAAGAGGAGGAGGAGGAGGAGGAGGAGGAGAAGGAGGAGCAGGAGGAGGATGAGGAGGAGGAGGAGGAAGAGAAGGAGTAGAAGGAGGAAGGAGGAGCAGGAGGAGGAAGGTAAGCACCTCGGATACCTCTCGGAGCCTCTTGGATGTCTCTTGGGCGCTTCGTGGTGGCCTCTTGGGACGTCTTTGGGGTCTCTTTGCGGTCCTGGGGGGCTCTTGGGCGTCTTGGGTGCCTCGGGGGGGGCCTCTTGGGGCCATCTTGGGGTCCTCTTGGGGGCCTCCTGGGGGCCTTTTGGGGGCTTCTTGGGGCCATCTTGGGGCCATCTTGGGGGCCTCTTGGGGCCTCGTGGGCGCTTCTGGGCCACCTTGGAGGACATTCATCAAAGAAGAGGGGAGGTTTTTAGCGCAGCCCCCCAAAGAGGCGAAACTGAGGCCAATACCTAAGTCAAACTTATCATTTGGGGTTCCTCGCCGGTGCCGTTTGGGCGCTCTAACTACCCGCGACCAGCCCCGTCCAGGTCCAAGGGAGGGGGTAGGGGGAGGGGTTAGCCCCTCCCCGAAGGGGAAGAAGGGGGTTCGAAGAGATGCCGCCCTAGACCACCTATGCCCCGCGGGCTGGTGAGATTTGGCGTGCGGGAATAGAGTTTGCATGTGGTCGCTGAGAGGCGTGATTGACGCGAGCTTCCCGTCCGGCACGTACAATGGGCACACGTGACTTGCGCATCCGTCCCCGCCGAAGAGCGCGGCTTGCTCCGCGAAGCCAACGACGCAAGCCTTGTCGAATGGCGTTGTGTGTACGTCGTTGCATGTTTTTACATCGCCCCCGGCCTCGTGTTATTGGAGAGGCCTGACGGCCGGTGCCGCCGACCCTGATCGAAAGGGCTAGGAGTGGGGGGAGGAAGCGGAGGATGAGGAGGAGGAGGAGGAGGAGAAGGAGGAGGAGCAGGAGGAGGAGGAGGAGAAGGAGGAGGAGGAGGAGGAGGAGGAGAAGGAGGAGGAGGAGGCGTGTTACTTCTCCGCCTGCTCCTCTTCTTCCGCCTCTGCCCTCACCCGTGTTCCCCCCCTTCCTCTCTGCGCCCCGCCCCGGTCGTCCTCTGGCTAGCTCCTCCAAGAAAGGCCATGCTCCTCCTGCCTGGACCTCCCCGCTTGCCCATGCCTGTCTCTCTCTCTCTCTCTTTCTCTCATGCTGTTCCTCTCTCTCTCTCTCTCTTTCCCTCTCTCTCCCTCTGTCCCTCTCGATATATATATATATGTAGATATATACACGTGCTATGTGCACTATCTGATCAGTTTCATAGTTTATGTGTCCGTCTTCACCTCAATTTCCCTCTTGTTCTCTTCTTCCTTCCATAGGTATATGAACACATACATGCGTGCGCTTGTTTAGACCTGTGTGTAGGTGTGCTGATCGATGTACTCAAGTATATGTATGCATATGTCTCGCTCTCTCGCTCCCATCTCATCAACCCCCACTTCTTATGAGGCTACTGAGCTGCCCGTCTGGCTGTCCCAGTTTCCAGGAGGGGGTCCTTGGGCCGAGCTTCTGGCGAGGGGGGCAGCTCTCACGCCTGAGCCCGGTCCTTTTGTCACGTCTGCCTGGGGGGCACACCAAGGCCGGGTTGGTGAGGGGCTCGCTGTTCCTCGGGTCGCTGAGCGCTCCCTCGTGTACCCATGCGCAGTTGGGGGCATATAGGGGGCTTCTGTTCCGTGCCGAACATTCCTTGTAGTCCAGCTTGCACGAGGGTCGCGGACAGCCCTGGCGTGGGAGGGGCACTTCGTGTGTTCCTTCGTGTGTGGGGGCTCTCCACCGCGAGATGCTCGTCATGATTCATGATGGGGTATCTCCACGGGGGTCTTGGGCTTTCTGCGCCTGTGCTCGTGCTCTTGACTGCAACACCTGAGGCCATACCTCGACTGCACCTCGAGGCCACACCTCGACTGCAACACCTGAGGCCACACCGCGCCCACGTCCCCGAGGCCACGCCTCGACTGCAGCAGCTTGACCGTACGACGCGCGGCCGGGGCCCCGCGCGCACGCCCCCTCCTCCGGCTCGGGCGCCGGTCGCGCCCCGCAGGTGAGCGGCACGCTGCCCAGGTGGGCCATGGTCCTGCCGCGCCTCTGCCCCTTCCTGTTCAACCTGAAGACGCGGAAGATGCTCCTAAAGCGACCCGCCCCTCCTCCTCCTCCTCCTCCTCCTCCTCCTCCTCCTTCTGCCTCCTCCTCCTGCCTCCTCCTCCTCCTCCTCCTGCCTCCTCCTGCCTCCTCCTCCTCCTCCTCCTCCTCGTCCTCCTCCTCCTCCTCCTCCCTCCTCCTCCTCGTCGTCCTCGCGCCGTGGAGGGAGCGCGCCGTGGAGGCCCGTGGCGGTCCTCGGCCTCGCCCAGGGCCCTGGCCGGGCCCCGGGGCCGTCCCAGAACGACGGAGGAAGAGCCAGTCCGAGGGGGAGGGGGAGGAGGAGGAGGAGGAGGAGGAGGAGGAAGAAAAGGAGGAGGAGGAAAAGAAAAAGGAGGAGGAGGAGGAGGACGAGGAGGAGAGGGAGGAGGAGGAGTTGGAACACCTCACGACGTCGGACGTCTGGGGAGGTGGCCCGCCCTCGAGGAGGAGCCGCCCCCGACGTCCCCTTGAGTCGCGTTTTTGCGTTTTTAGTGGAGGGCCGTTGGCGTTTGCTCATCAGGGGCAACGAAAGGTGGGGGGGGAGCATAGGGGGGGAAGCATCGACCCCCAATCGCTCATGATCGCCGATGGGGCTCATGATCGCCCAAAAACGTGCGGATTCTCTATCGGGGGCCTACGCCGATCTATCGGCGATGTATCGCCGATTCCAGGTCGATGTGACAGCCCCTGTGACAGCCCCCGTATCGTTGCCCCTCAACTCATCAGCCCTGGCCTGTCCGACTCATTCTCAGGTATGTTTTCCAAAGTGCCTCGCTTGTATTGGGGTCTGGTTATTCGGCTCTCTACCCACTCCCCATACAACCTCGTCGACTACTCTGGGCCTTCGATTCGCCCTCTCCCCACAACCCGCCTGCCCCACCCTCCCTCGTCACCGTTGCCGGGCTCGACTCGGAAGACGTGCCGAACGAACACGATGATGGGACTCATTCTACGGCCGTGTGGGCTCAAACGCCGAATAGGCTCAATGGAGGTACAGGGAAGGAACGAATCAGGGCACGGTGCGCATTTATCTACATCTGTGCCTTGCCAACGGAGTAGCCCGTTCCGCCAATCCACGTAGATCGCAGCAGGTTCCCCCTCAAGTTGATTGGCTCATGTTGTATCCTGGCACGTGGAGCACGGATGAGGTTCGGAGCCGCTTTCTCCCAGGAGGGAGGCTCTTCAATCGCATATGGTTTTCGTATTGTGCGGCCGCTGCGAGATGCTCGTGCATGCCTTCGGGATCTCGAGGCTCAAGTGACCTCCTCGATTTGTGGCTCCGTATCCCACCCATCCTCCCCCCCCGCCCTTCATCAAACAGGGGGAGGAGGAAGATGAGGAGGAGGAGGAGTCCTCTATCTTACAATTTCCTCGAAATGTTGCCTTTGCTGGACACTCTCGAGCATCGGGACGTGGGACTGAGACTCGAGCGGCTCCTTGAAGCTGCTTCTCCCTTCTCTGCCCCTTCCAACCCTATTCCAGCTCATCTGTAAGAGCCGATGTGGGTGGCGGCGATGTAGGTTTCGGTGTCGTGAGTGGGGGTGGTTCGTGGCCAACCCACTTGCAGGAAAGCGCGGTTCGTGCTTTCCAGCACGCAATTCTGCGCGAGTTCGGCTCCGCACAAACACGATTCTGGTTGGGTCGCGGACTGCGTCGCGACTGGGTCGCGGGGTGGGTCGCGGTTGCGTTACAGGTGGATCGAGTCGCGGTTGGATCGCAGGTGGGTCGCGGTGTCTGTCTCGGGCTGGAGGACGACAACAACAGCAGCAGCAACACCAAGCAGAATCTGCGCCGCGGAATTCTATTTCAGCCGCGCACCCAGGGACGTGGTAGGACCGTTCGGCCCCCTCATTCTGATGCGCACATACATGTACACACACTCCCACATGCACATGTACATCTACACATTCGTGTATATACATATATATACACATACATACATACATGTATACATGTCTACACACCTACGCGGACACCTCTACAGTACATACACATGTGCATGCATGTGCACATGTACATACACACATGCGTATGCATATGCACATGCGTATACATATAACGGCGCACCGGGTCCGGGGGCCCGGGGCCGGGACCCCGACCACAAATGTGGGCTCCGGGGGGCCCGGAGGCTCGTCGGACCGCCGTACGCCGTCCAAGATCGTTCGCAGGCGGCTTCGGAACGCGCTCCGATGGCTCCAGATGCCTTCCAAGACGCCTGTCATGACACCAAGAAGGTCCCAGAAGCCTCCAAGACGCTCCGAGAGGCAGCCCAAGAGAGGCCCAAGAAGCAAAAATCGTGCCATTCCTATGGGAAAACGTATATTTTTCGCATGTTCGCCTCTTGGGCTTTCACCGCGTCCAAGACGGCCCAAGAGGCGCCCAAGACGGTCTACGAGGCCTCCGGGAGCGCTCCAAGGCTGCGCACGAGTGGCCCAGGACGGCCCCAAGACGGCCGAAGAGAGCCCCAAGACGAGTTCGAGAGGGGTCCCAGACGGAGAAAGCCAACCTCGAATTCCGAGCTTCCGGCCCAAGAGGCTCCAGGAGGCGCCAAAATGCCGCCCAGAGGCGCCAAAAGGCTCCCAAAAGCACCCCAAGACGTTCCGAGAGGCACCCCAAGAGAGGTCCAAGAAACAAAAATCGTGCCATTCCTATGGGAAAACGTATATTTTTCGCATGTTCGCATCTTGGGCTTTCACCGCGTCCAAGACGGCCCAAGAGGCCTCCAAGACGGCCTAGGAGGCCTCCGGGAGCGCTCCAAGGCTGCGCACGAGTGGCTCAGGACGGCCCCAAGATGGCCCAAGAGAACCCCAAGACGACTTCGAGAGGGGTCACAGAAGGAGAAAGCCACTCTCGAATTCCGAGCTTCCGGCCCAACATATCCCAGGAGGCGCCAAAACGCCGCCCAGAGGCGCCAAAAGGCTTCCAAAAGCACCCCAAGACGTTCCGAGAGGCACCCCAAGAGAGGTGCAAGAAACAAAAATCGTGCCATTTCTATGGGAAAACGTATATTTTTCGCATGTTCGCATCTTGTGGCTTTCGCCGCGTCCAAGACGGCCCAAGAGGCCTCCAAGACCGCCCTAAGACGGCCCAAGAAGCTTCCAAGAGGGCCCCAGGACAGCCCAAGAAGGCCCCAAGACGGCCCAAGAGGCGCCCAAGATGGCCCAAGAGGGCCCCAAGACGGGCCCAAGAGGGGGCCCAGAGGGGGACCACGAACCGCAAGCTCGAGCCTTCCGCCCCAAGAGGCCGCCAGGAGGCCCCAAGGAGGCCCCTCAAGAGGCCCCAGGAGACCCCCAAGAGGCCCAAAGGAGGCCCCGAGAAGCCCCAAATCGGCTCCCAAAATGCTTCGAACCTGCTTCCAGGAGGCCCCCGACAGGTTCAGAGGCTCCCGAGAAGCTACGTCAAACTCCCAGCGAGCGGCCGGACGAGGCCCCCCACAAAATCACCAGAGGGTTCCAATATTTGTATCCTTCAGCGCTCTCTGGCCTTCTTCCCCCTGCCCCCTTCCCTGCGACTTTCGTTGACTCAAGCTCGCCTCCTAGCTAGAACCTAAGCGCGCGCGAAGCGCGCGCGTGGTTCTAGTATACATATATGCACATATGTATCTACATATTTATGGCTAGACATGTGCTCACACTACACACGCCCTGTTATCCGTAAAGGGCTTCGCCCCCTGCCGCCGGCCCCCTCTTTCGGATAATGGATCATGCAAGAGCTACGTCGTGAGTTATGGGTGCCGTCTTGAAGCAGCGTCGAAACATCATGCAAGGACGATGCATGATCGGCCGGCAAGATGTCGATCCAGACGATCTTGCTGAATTCGGTGTTGCATGCTGGACTTGCCCCTCATGCTGTGCATTGGAGGCCCTCTTGGAAAGACTGGGGGCTGCTCGAGGCTGCTGGAGGCCCTCTCGGACCGCTGCCGCTGGGGCGGTCTCCGGCGCCCTCGGCGTCTGTCGCAGGGGACTGCGGCCTCGGGGCGCGCGAGCGCGCCGTTCGCTGCAGGGAGTCCCGGCCTCGGGGGCGCGCGTCTTGTGGAAGCTACGCAGCAAGCAGCGGCGAAGCGTCCTGGCTCGCCTATAGCCCCACGAAACTATGTCCTAAGAACCTCTCGTGGTTTCCACGACATGTTCTTAGAACATTTCTGGCGGTGTCTGCCTTGTTTTATCACATCGGGTCTATGTTCTAAAAACGTTGTTTTTCCCAACCCTCCTTGGTTGGGTATTCGTTTTGAATGAGAGACTGTGGTCTCCACCTTCCTCCCGCCTCCCTCCTGCCTCCTGCCTGCCTCCTCCTGTCTTGCTTGCGGGGGGCTGCGATCTATGAAACTGTCGCCACTTTCGAGGCCTGCTGGGGGGGGGGCCCAGCACAGTGACGCCCCGCGCGGACCCAAATTAGACCTCGCCATCCCTGGGGGGCTGCGATCTGTGAAACTGTCGCCACTTTCGAGGCCTGCTGGGGGGGCCAGCACAGTGACGCCACGCGCGGACCCAGATTAGACCTGGCCATCCCTGGGGGGCTGCGATCTGTGTAACTGTCGCCACTTTCGAGGCCTGCTGGGGGGCCCAGCACAGTGACGCCCCGCGCGGACCCAAATTAGACCTCGCCATCCCTGGGGGGCTGCGATCTGTGTAACTGTCGCCACTTTCGAGGCCTGCTGGGAGGCCCATCACAGTGACGCCCCGCGCGGACCCAAATTAGACCTCGCCATCCCTGGGGGGCTGCGATCTGCGAACGGGTCGCCAGTTTCGAGGGCTGCTGGTGGGTCCTGCGGGGTGAGGCACCGCGCGGACCTGAGCGGGACCTCGCCGTCCCTGGGGGGCTGCGATCTGCGAAATTGTCGCCACTTTCGAGGCCTGCTGGTGGGTCCTGCGGAGTGAGGCACCGCGCGGACCTGAGCGGGACCTCGCCGTCCCTGGGGGGCCGCGATTGCGAAATGTCGCCACTTTCGAGGGCTGCTGGTGGGCCCTGCGGGGTGAGGCACCGCGCGGACCTGAGCGGGACCTCGCCGTCCC